TCCTGTGTCAGCCCGAGAATGGTCTCTACTGTGGAGTAGGATCTGGAATTATGGTATATATAACTAATGTTCGCGCCTACTCATTTTGAAAGAGCAATGGGCAGTGGGGAAACTCCAACACAACCAACCAATGGTGGAACTACAGTCACTCAGTCAGTCGGTCAGTTCCTCTAAAGCTCATGTATTGACAGATTATTTCCAGTTTGTTAATCTAGTGTAGTTTACAGGCCTGAAACAGATGCCTTAAACAGATCTGCTTAAGGAGGCGATAATAATCTGTGTTCAACTTTGGTGAACAAATGTTGACGATAGCAAAGCCTGTTGACAGTGGTGACCTTTGAGGGGATAGGAGTTTCCACTCTAAAAGGAACAGTTGAAAGAAAACAGAAAGACGGCAGTACTTATGTGGTTAGGTACTGCCAGAAGCAGCCCCTCAAACAAATGAGCCATAGCATGCTAATTATTGAGTTTTAGAGGTGCTGGTTGGCGAATTGCCAAGTCAAGCACTTTACTTTCTTCAGCATGAAGGCAACAATTAGCACACATACAACCAGTGACCACCTACAGTCCCACAAAGAGGGCAGCCTCACCGCTCTTGTGCAGACTTCAGTACAGTTTTCTACGGCACACATAGTCTAGCTGGTAGACATGGATCTGACACAGGGTGCAGCAAGACATTAAAACATAGAACATCTGATAACTCTGTCCCACTAAATCACATCGCCCAGGGAAGCAAAGCTCTAGCAGGGGGTAGGGGAAGAAGAAGGCAGAGGTGAAAAATAAAGCCACCTGGCCAAAGTGATAGATAATGGCTGGGTCACTGCTGGTCGTAGACCACAACATGAGTCTTTTAGCCACAGGACTGCTGTTCCAGATAATGGCGAGCAGTGATGGCACACCTTTAATACCCATTTTAGTTGGGTGTGGTTCCAGTATTTGCCATAGCAGCATCCCAATGGAAGTGGGCATAAAGATCCCATCCACGTGTCTGTGCAAGTTCTCATCCCCAGCATAGTAAAAATGAACTATATCACTTCCATACTGATACTCTGCTACCCCAACATAGTCCAGGAAGAAGAGGGTATACTGACACAGCTCCCTGAAGTAGTGGGGGACCTCAGTGTGTCTAACAGTGACGGGCATGGAGGGTGGCGCCTCACTCAGCATCCGGGGGACCCCCCTGATCTGCTGCAGGCTTATAAACACTCGCCCAATTCTCTCCATTACAATCGTCGCCATAACTGTCAGTAGCTGAGTGATGCACACTGGGGAGTTTTTGGAGGATAAAGGTAGTGTAAAAGGAGACACTACAGAAAAAAAATTGGGTTATTGTGTCCTATTGATTCCTATTGATAAGTAATTTAATGGGAACCCACTTTTACAATTTAGCAGTAGCGTGAACGCTATTCAACATCTAAAATGACAACTTTTAGTAATCCACTCATCAACAAAAGGGGCATCTGTAAGTGACAGATATTGTAGGGGAGATGTGAAATGTAAAATTCAAAAAAGGTTAAGCATAATCAATATGCATATTAAAATAAAAGGTTTGAATTTTCATTCAAATGTATAATTATTATAATTATTACAAGTCTGATAACAAAAACAGAAAACATGTAAATTATTACAACTCATATCATCATAAGTTTGGCTACATTAAACACAATATGAGGGATAACAGTGAGCAGGAGGGGACAGAACATATGTGACTATGTTCATCAATTCAAGTTCATTCAACAACAGCAGACAATGAAAGAAACAATACACAGCCCCTCTAGTTAGTTGATGACAATGTTTTCTGATAGAAGCACAATAATGCACACAATACAACATTATTAAAACAAATACGCCCACTAAAAAAGTGGTAACAAGAGGGTTCATACCAAAGCTCACCAGAATAGGAAAACACTGTACAAAACACAGTAACAAGTACTAAATGCAAAATAGATATTTACACTTGAGATAAACAACCAGCAGCTTAACTTTTAGGTGTATGACAAACCTATGGGTGTAAACAGACAGCTATTTGACCAGCAGCTTGTGGGTCCTGTCATCTTATCCTTCAGTTAATGTGAAGTTTCACCACAGGTAAATGAAAACACTTGGAGATCTTATTTTTGAGTGTTAACTCCAAATGAACATTGTTTTTTTCTTTCTTTCGCCTTTTAAACTGCTCCTTTGAGTCCATCTAGCAGCAAACAAAAACACAATCTATTCAGCTTATTATGAAACAGCAATTGGCATTCACAGCCACAGCTTCGCCCACCACAGGCAGAGCAGCTTCAGCTGTGCTCACTGTTGAAACGCTGCCTTTTGAAAGGAGTAATGAGCAGGAAGTGTCAGATCATCTGTCCTTTCTGTAATATCTGCAGAGTGTTTCCCTACACTGGACTGGACCAGTGAATACAACTGTTTCTATGGATCAGGGGAATACAAAACTTAATGGAAGGCAATGCAAAAGTAGTTGAGAAAAAAAAGTATTGGCTGTTGCCAAGACCATTGCCAGAAATAAATAATTGTAATTGATATAGTGTATCTCAGGCTCATCAAAAAGTGTGACCTGCTTAATGCCTGCAGGACCAATGGCAGGCCCCACACTGGAGAAGTCTTTTCCAAAGGGGGCATAGCTTCCTGGCACCACACAGAAACTGAAGCACCCAGTGATGCACATAAACTGGTATTCTGTCAATGTGGCTATGATTTAAAGAAATAGCTGCTGCACAAACCTTTCAGATCGAGGCAGCCCATCCAGCTTTAAAGAAAAACTGCAAGTATCACAGTAAATCCTGCAACATGAAGAAAACACGGCCCAGAACAAATGTGTGATTGGTTCGTTTGACAAACAGGCACATGTGGGAAGCTGACATGCTCTTGTCTGTCCCATCGTATTTCTTTGTCCTTTTGTTTCACGGGCGTTTGAGGAAAAAGTGAATAACGAGGAAAACAAAGAGATTGGGGAGAGAGACGAGGGACAGTTTCAGGTTCAGTCACCATTATTTGAATAACACAAAGAAACTCAACACAGTCAAACAGAAAGTTTGAACCCTGTATGGATCTTCATCCAAGTCTCAGCCATTCCCCCTGAGGGGTGAGTGGGAGAGCCAGCACTAATGAAAAAAAAAAGAAACTAACTATTTAAGGTGCTCTACTAATGCTTGTAAAGCTGATAGGGACCTTGACATACTGGCCTTTTTGTGTCTTTGACTGCTGCCTTCATCGTGCATCCTAACTCAGAGTGTCACCTGCTGTTTAAGGAACAAGAGTTTCTACGACCCCAGAGAATGGAAGGTCATCTGCAAACAGGAGGACTTCCGCTTGGTGTAGCCTCTGCTGCCTTACAGAGAGTAGACTGATGCTGCAGTTAATGCATACATGGACATACTTAGACTGGGCTTTTCCACAGTGCCCTACATCCAGACACTTGGGGCAAGAGTCACTGCTGTTGTCTGCTGTTGTCTGCTGTCGTCATCCTAAATTGGGCTCTACACGGCACAGCTCAGTATCACTGTCAGTTCAAAAAGGGAGTCAGATTAGGGAATCTGAGTGAACAGTGAAAGGGCCACAAGACATGTACCAGAACATATAGCAGACCTCTTTTCCGAAACACAAACCACTAAATCCAAGTGGGTAGCCAGTCAGACAAGAAGCCTATAAATTTCACATGTGACTTTGTTTATTGTCACTGGCAAGGGGTGTGTTTTCTACACTGGCCAAATCCCAATCTCCACTCTAAACAATGAACCCTCACAGACTTGAGTGTCATCACCTGGAAAGTACTTGAATGTGAAAGGCTGCAAGAACCTGAAATTGTATAAATAGGAATGTGACAGCACTATGTGACATATTAGTGACATCTTTTGAAACACATCTCGAAACAGCATTTTATTATTTCTAGCACACTGTTATCCTGTTTTAACACCATTTTATTTCTTTGTCTTATTCATTTGCCTCAGTCCTGAAATGTTTTAATTCTAGTTCAACCATGTAAAGCACTTTGTAACTTTGTTTTTTAAAAAGTGCTGTATAAATAAATTATTATATTACTATATCACGTTACATAGCCTACAATTGGGTGTTTTTTATTTTATGTTTTTTACTTTGTTCCAACTGCCTGATTTGATTGTCTTGCAGAGTGGACGTACATAATCAATTTAATAATTTTTCTCAAAACAGCATCAAGCACATGTAAATTTCTTTTCTCATGTTACTCCCCACACGTTTTTTCATTGCATGTGTTTAACATCACAACACAATGAACTGTGGGCAATTCCCTCGGACAACGTCTGTAAGAATGCAGACTTACAGAAAGTGTGGATAAATGGCTCAAAACGTCTGCCAGAGAGCCCTTATGCACGATTTGACAATGGGACAGCCCTAAGCCCTCACTGTAACTCAGTGCCAGGAATGTGCATCAATCATTAGGTTTAATGCCACTCCAGAGGAGGACAGACTATGTTTGCTCTTTGATCTAGGGGAAACTGAGAATGAGTGATTAATTTTTTGGTTTACTATCTTGTCTACGAGGAGATAAGGGATGTACTTTTTGGTAAAACGTCCTCCAATTATGATTATTTGTTTTTCCTGGATGATTATGAACCTGAGTTTTGCTTCAGAAAGGGAACGTTTTAAGATAAGAATATTTAAAGACAAAATAATCTGTAGTTTTGTAGTTTCTGTGGAATGAAACGTTTGACCACTGCAACTGCACTTCTGGCGTCATAAAAACCCATGAGGGTTGATAGGACAATATGATGATTTTACCTTATTTTCCTAACTCTTTTCTTGGCCTACAGGCCCATATTTTATATGTTGACTCAGTACAATAAAGCACATATTGCCTTGCTAATTTGAGTTTACAAATTACCAAGACAGATGCGCAGCATCACAGTGTCAAGTGTATCTTTACAGTATGTAAATAACAGCTGAGGTCCTGCTAGGAGGAACACTGTGTAACAGGTCGCTATGGAGACCAATTAAACATTGAAAAACCATCACATTAGTTTTTGATTTAAAAGATTGTCAGACTTTTATTTTATTAGTAAAATGATTACAGTACCTGCAATAACACATATCCTCCATCAAGTTTTTAAAATATCATGATTTAATGGTGAAAATACAGTTGTTGCAATAATACCACACTTTTATACTGTTAACCATTACAAGCAATATCATTTAATCTCATTCTGTAGCTCTCTGTCTGGAGTCCACCCAAAAATACCCAGTCTGGGAACAAGATCTATATGGAAACAGTAGGTGCATTGGGGACATCACAAGCAGGGAGCTGCCGGTCGACATTCATTTTATTTGCCAATAGCAGGAAAAACTAATGTCAAGAAAATAAAAGGGCTTTAAGAGAAATACAACTGCAACAGTTTCATAACAATACATTAACAGGTGCAATAAAGTAGAACTCAGTTCCCAATTGGAGTTTCAGTTAAACATTCAATTATAGGCAGTAACATTAGATCGCAATATCAGTGAGGTTCAGTTTTGTCATTGAAATTAGTTTCATAACCTACACTATATTACATTGAACTGGAGGTAGGCTACATGCATATACTGTATTTTAACAACAGAGATAACGTGGGAGCTTGTTGCTCCTTGGACAGTGTGCGAAGGTCAACAAGCTCCTGATAAACAATTCTCCCCATCCATTTGAAGCCTCAGTCATTCTCAGACATGTTTTGTAGTTACTCATAGTGAAAGTAGTAAAAAGAGAATTTGACACAGAGGCCAGCAACATGTCAGGAGATGAGACTATTAGTCAATGCTGCACATAAGAATTGTGCTTCAAGAAAAAGCTTAAGATTAATCCTGCTGGCTTTACATATTGGTCAGTAGTAGGCAGTATTATTTCCCAAACACATACATTATCACAGTACCTTTACCTTTCATTAGTACACTCATGTAACACCTACACTCAAGACTTTTCCCTTATGATTCAAAAGGCACAAACAACATTTCCCAGTGATTGCCAAATAAACAGTACATAATACAAAACAGCCTACACATATATACTGCATGTCTAAATTAAGACATATCATTAAGAATTGAATTGTATAAAATCATAAAAATATCCAGCTTTCTTAGATACATTCTTAAGGCAGTGCGTTAAATTATATCTAAAAGTGCGATGACATATAATTCAAGCTAACAAAACAACAACAAATTGGTTTAAGTCTCTGACTGGCAAATAAAAACATTTCATAATGTGTCTTCAAAGATTTCCCAGCTACATGAAAATGTCAACTTAAATTTTAAGGCTTTAGTTTCCGACAATCTGCACTATGTGCCATTACCTAATAGCATTAAGGAGTTGAGAACAGTGAGAACCAGCACCAACTTTATGCTCAATGTAACATAAAAGGTGCAAACAATTGGCTCTCAAGGCACAATGACAAAGGCCCCTGCATGTTGTAACACTGTTATTACAATTGGTAGATTATACTTTATGATAGTCTCAGCTTCAGTTATGAAGTAGATTTGGTTTGATCAGTGTATCACTTTCAAACCATTTCAATAAACTAATATAAAAATCCATTAGTTTGGGTTAAATATGCCTTCACTTTTAAAATATAGAATATATATAGGCACATTTTATATGCTATTCCATTATTATCCCAGTATTGTAGGATAAAATGAAATTTTCAATAATCTGATAATTCATAATCAAACTGCATATAATCTATTTTCATCAATAACAGCAGTGACTATATACTTGGGGGTGGCAGTAGCTCAGTCTGTCGGGTCGCCAGTTCACTTCCAGCCTGGACCACAGTACTGGTAGCTGGAGAGGTGCCAGTTCACCTCCTGAGCACTGCTTGAACAAGGCACTGAACCCCGTACTGCTCCTGTGGCGCCGCTACGTGGCAGCCCAACACTCCACCATCTCGCCACATTTGCATGTCTATAATGATTGTATTTCAGGCCTATGTTTGTTAAAAAAAATAAGGTTAACCTTAACTTATACTGTAGGCAGTTTTAGGAATCTAATTTTGATTATGTTCCCTTTGAAAAACGCACCAGCCTTTGCTGATGCATGAAAAACACCAGTTGGAATTCTTCAAAAAATTCTAATGCAAATCAGTACCAAAATACTAGATCCTACTATTATTTTGCATCCCTCTTGTAATCTGCCACTTACCGTTATAAAATATTACAGTTTCCAACAGACATTTACATAACACAAGCCTAAACTACAGTAATACAGCAAATATAATTAGTTCTCTTTCTATCAAAGCAGCAAGTCTGCAAGGAAAGGCACATGAATGCTTTTGCACATTGATCCTACAGCATCTAATCCATTATTTGGACTTTGCATTGAAGTCAAGCACTTGCTTTACTTTCCTCAGCATGAAGGCAACAATTAGCACACATACAACCAAAGTGACCACATACAGTCCCACAAAGAGGGCAGCCTCACCGCTCTTATGCAGACTTGAGTATAATTTCCTACGGCCCACGAAGTCGAGATGAGAGGCATGGATCTGACACAGGGTGCAGCAAGATAGAAATATATGGAACATCTGATGACTCTGTCCCATAAAATCACACCGCCCAGGGAAGCAGCGCTCTAGCAGGGGGTAGGTGAAGAAGAAGGCACAGCTGAGAAAGAAAGCCACCTGGCCAAAGTGATAGATATAGGCTGTGTCATTGCTGGCTGAAGACCATGACATAAGTCTTTTAGCCACAGGACTGCTGTCCCACATATAGGCGAGCGCTGAGGGCACCACCTGGCACACCTTACGCACCCAGGTTGGTAGGCTGTGGTTGCAGTATTTGCCATAGCAGCATCCCAGGCATGACAGACAGCTGAGAACAGTGGCAGTGGGCATGAAGATCCCATGCACGTATCTGTGCAAGCTCTCATCCACAGCATAGTAAAAATGAACTATAGCACTGCCATACTGATACTGTGCTACCCCAACATAGTCCAGGAAGAAGAGGGTATAGTGACACATCTCAGACTTGCTGCCCAGTAGGTGAGCTGCTACACTGCATGCCGAGTAGGTCAAGGAGGACACGATGAGGACCAACAGGGGCCACGAATGAGGATCACTAACAAACTCCACAGTCTCACTGAGTTGGCGCAGTTTAACCAGAAGAACTAAAAAGGCCAACAGGTGAGTCCAGACGTTGATGGTCTCATTGTGGCGCTGGAATAAAGACAGGAAGTAGTAACGCCAGTTTTGGTTGAGTGGTCGGTAGCCGGTGGAGACGTAGCGCTCCCTGAAGTAGTGGGGGACCTCAATGTCTCTAACAGTGCCGGGCATGGAGGGTGCCGCCTCAGTCAGCATCTGGGGGACCCCCCTGATCTGCTGCAGGCTGATGAACACTCGCCCAATTCTCTCCATTACAATTGTTGCCATAACTGTCAGTAGCTGAGTGATGCACACTGGGGGGTTCCTGCAGAAAGAGTTCAAATACACAAAAATTAAACATTTTATAATTTGTGTTATATTTTCAACAGTTTTAAGTGGGAGTGCTAAAATATAACTCAGCTTGCTAATTTGTAGCCGTTTGTATACCATGTCAAAGTTTTGCCATTCACAAGCAGCTATGTCAACCTAAAGTCTTTTATGTTTCCTCTGTGTAAAGCTCTGCAGTTGGCTGGTTGGGACCAGTGGTGTAGTGCAGGTACAGTCAGCATGAGTATACTTCTAAATCCTCTCTGATGCCTAATATTCAGTTCTGTGAGCTTGTTTTTTTCCCCTAGGATGGCAAAGTCATGACATAGTTGTCCAATTTCTTCACTCAAATAGTTACGTAGTAGTCTTTGGGCCAGTATTGATTGTAAAGTCTGCCCCTCTTCTGTGGCTAATGTTAATGCTCCTTATCGCCTTAAGTGAAGCAGCGAAAGTTAAGTGACAATGTGCAAATACTGCTGGCCCGTTTTTGAGTGAACTAATTATGCAAGAGCATAATTTACTAGTCAGGGCTGTTTATCCTGGAGGGGCAAATGTGTGGGCAAAAAGAGTATAGCAACTTCTCACTACACCACTGGTCAGACATGAGACTGAGACTTCTGAAAAAGAAAGTGACAAACTGCTGTTGAGCTGTATTTTTCTTATTCTTTTTAATATTTTTTTCTATTCGATTTTAATGTGTAGTAGTATAAGCTGTAGTAGGACATCTGGTAAACCGGAGTGGGGGAGTTTGACATTTAGACACATTTTCTCCCTCCTTATTTTAGTGCCCCCTTAAGACCTTCAGGGGAAAAAATCTGTATATTTCTCCTGTACCCGCCCCTGGCGATAACATGTTGCTGTGTGTCGAGTATGTGAATCAAACGGACTTTATGTGGGTGCACTAAACCGAGTCTTGTAGATTCACTGGCAGCCAATGTGCGTGCTAAAGGTCCAGGACCAAACCCGAGGCAGTTCTCAAAGTTCTGCCGGACTGGAGCAAAGACGTTACTTACTGCGCATCACTTTAGCAGACTACCTGTTAACTCTCCCTGCACACATGACATCAATCAATACCCGATCAATACCTTAGCGATGTCTCACCTTGTAGTGATTGCTCGTTTCCTTCAGTGTTCGCAGATGAAGTGACCTCTGCCTCCTCCTCCGCCCGCCGAGACAAACAGTGAATACGGAATGAATCCTTCCTCTGGAGCGAGACGGCAGCGTCAAGGTACTGACACAGCCGGAAGAGTGGCGATTCAACAATAAAAGCACAGAAGATTTTCACATTAAACATGACCAAACTGATGTATGTAAATAACAAATTAAGTAGGAGTTATACGTTTTGAAAATATACCGTATAAGCTATATTGTTGCAGTTTGGGAGTGTCAAAGTTACCAGCAATCTACATATAATCCTGTATTAGCAGGCGTACAGTTTGGCCTATGCACAGAGAGTGTGTAGGTGTGTGTGTGTGTGTGTGTGTGTGTGTGTGTGTGTGTAGACTATCATCAAACATATATTTACTGTGTAATCTTTCTGACTGAACAGTATTCAGTCATGAGTCATTCCTCAGGACTGGTATGTATTGGTATGGTTTGGTGGGAATAACCTACAAAGTTAGTATGGAGCATGCCTGGTGTGTTTTATTTTGAAAACTGCCACCGCAATACCTGTTGTGTTAGTAACTTGATAGACACCGGGTGGATCAGAAGGAAGAATGCTTCTCAAGGGGATTGAAAAGTAAAGAAAATACCAAATGAAGACCTCAGAAGTGAGGTGCCTTAACCCAAGATATTTGTTCAGGCTTAAGCAGAAAAGGAAGTTGTTTTTCTCATGTGTTCATCGGCAAATTAAATATTAAAGTTGAGAGGACATAAAAAACGACCTCCAATCTCAGGGGTCATTCTCACTTAATTTCAATGTGACCCCTGGAGGGATGCAAAGCAGAGGAAGTAGCCTCTGTGGCGCTTCAACCTGAGCATTAGTTGTATGAGGGAGAAAGGCAGAGAGGCATACATAGTGTGTGGGTGTGAACTCCTGGAACATTCTTTGTCAGTGACAATCTGCTCAAGTTTTTCTTTTTTCTTTTTTTCTTTCCCACAGACCGTACAGTCTGTGGCCATGACCACACTATTTAAACATGATTCAAATAAATCCAAACAGTTGGAATACTTAACAAACTTTACATATTCATTTGGGTGTGTGGGAGGATAAACCCGGAAGGCATGAGGGGGCAAGTTAAAGGCTTTTATGAAAATATGTATGTGATTAAAGGACAATTTTGGAGGCAGTAGAGCCCATATTCTTATTTTAAAATCCCCCAAAAGTAATGGTTAAAGTAAAATGTGGATAGAATACTAACCCTTTAACAGAAAGATAATAGGAAAGTCCTAGCTAATGCTCCCTTGACTGGACAGAGGGTAAAGTATATGTCTGCAACCAAAGGGGAAATATGGGATATTAGCAGGACACTTATATTTAAATAATAGTTTGACATTTTGTATTTATCTGTCTTGTAAATACAGTGTATACAGCCTTGCAATAAACTCAGGGGAGCAGGCAGTGCGACCTGCTGGTGCCCAGGAGTGCATAAAGTGCCCTCTTGAATGCTCCTTTGGTAGATAAACATCATAAAGAACCCTTCCAGTGGACAAAAAACAATAAAGTGCCTTTTGAGGTGCTAATCCCTAACCACACAACACCCTGACTAATCTGTTTCACCATAAATGCATCACAACTTTCTGTGCACTGGTGCCCTTTTTTATTCAACAAGAGTCCACCACTGGCACATAGAAATAGTCTGACTCTGGCACCCCGTAACAAACACAACTTGCCAGGCTAGCTGTTATTGTTTCCAGTCTTTCTGCTCAGCAAAGCTGAATATGTTGTAACTATAGCTTGGTGTCAAAACTCTCATCTAACACTTGGCAAGAAAGCGTATAAGTACATTTGAGCATACGAATGAGAATAAGTGTTTTTTCCAGAAAATGGAGCTATTGCTTAAGCAGGGGCGTAGTGGGCTGGATAAACCCAAGTAAGCTATATCAATCAGTGAGGGGAAACAATGTACCCACCTTTACCCCCCTGGCTTTAAGGGACAGGTGTACTGTTTAAAGGGTGATTGAGCTATTGTTAAAGCTCTTAAAGGGCTCCTAGTGTCTTTTCTTCTAGTGTGTTTGCAGTGTTTGCAGGCAATTCTTCTGAATCAAATCCAGCCTGTGTAGGATATTAAAAACTGCTCCAGCATATTGCCAAAGCTTTCTGTATCCCAGCATGTTATCAAATCTGTTTTTTGTCAGCAATCTCATTTGTTGTTTGTATCCATGACATGTCATTTAACCTGAAGCAATAGGCAGAATTTGAATTGGGTTTGGGAATGTAGCTCTTCCGGTGTGCCCTCATACTCCTTAAGACTCATGTTTTCCTTTGTAGCATGAAAGCATGTTCTCCGAAGTCTCCAAAGGTACAGGTTTAGATATCTACAGTGTCTGCTTTGTTTTCAACTTGACTTACAGTATTTAGGCCTTTGAAGACACAGCATACAGGATTTTATCTCATCACCACAGGACTTTGGTCATGTAATGTGGAAAAAATAGATATTCAATTATTTATTTATATTGAGAAGCAATACAATATAGAGCAAGTTTCTCCACAATTTCCTAACATTATTTTTTTGTGGAGCCCTGATGTTAGGAAAAAGATTTGAAAAAATCTATTCTCTGCACATTTAATCAACTTTATTCACCGATGACTAATCCCTTCATAGAGTTTATTATTTGTTTTACAAACAACCTAATGGTCAGTTCCTTTAAGGTTGGGGCAAGTTCTATTTTCTTTAAATGTTAATCTTTGTGAGATGGCGTTTTTTGGAAGGCGAGGACATTTTGACTCACTGCTTGGTTTTAGGGTTAAGGATAGAATTCATACGTGTTGAGGCATGTGCAGTGGTTGCGATGGTTAAAGTAAGCGTTAGAGAGTGCATTATCTCAAATGTCCTCACAAGCATAGAAGTAGTTTGTGTAAGAGAGACAGAATGTACCATGTTGTTTGCATATTTGTGAGTGTGTTTATACTGAAGGAGGACAAGAAGAAGCACATGTGTAAGATCCTCCCACACTGGCAGCACATTTCACTGAATTAACGTCAGAAAGTTAGGGTTAGAAAGTTTAATCTGCAGACTGAGAGCATGGGTTAATAACATTTATCGCTGCTTTCTAGCTGCTTAGAAAGTGTTTGTAATAATCAACATTCCTGTCCTGGAGGAAATTAGTTCACGGTGTACTAGACACCAGAAAACTGTGGTCCACTTACAATGGCATACACTAAATTTGGCTCGACCAGTTTTACTTTAGAGGCAGGATTTCATCAGAAGATCCTCACAGGGTTAAATTTACATCTTATCTGCGAATACTGGCCCCATTTAAAGCTCCCCTCCAGACATATACACAAATAGTCTGCTTGGAACAAAAATGTATGTCTGATATGTTTTTCCACAAAAAAGTTAAATTTTCCTTGAAAATCCTTGAAAACATCTCCCCCTTCTACATCATTAAAACTTCCAGAATCTCTGAATATACAAATGTTGTTCATTTTTAAAGTTTTCCTGCTGGACACAAGATGTCTCCTACTTCACTGTAAAGTCCATTCTCAGTGGATGTGCACTGCTGGCGTCAAGTTTCTACATCACACTGTACAAGTTGATACTGGACCAGGACTGACTTCATAACTATCTGTGATATCTCATGCTGGTAGGCACCGCCCCTTAAAATCTGATGTTTAATAAGCACAGAGAAACTTTCCACTTTCAGCAGATTAATGCGAAAACATCCTTCTAGAGTAATCTATGATCTGTTGTTAGCCACGCTGAGCAGTAAAATTGTCACTATGACCTTTCATCTACAATATAGTCAATCTCTGTATAACGTGATCTAAGTTCCCCATTTAACAGATGACACCCATGATGTTTAGTATACTGTTGGTTCTTGATTGGGCGGATCTCTCAGAGTGTTACACTGACATCGCCGCAAACTTTTTTTCTCTTCACATTTCAAATATAGATTCCGATAAACACACGTAGAACTACTGAGCATAAGGTTTTCACTCCGTCACTCCCTCTTTCTGTCCAGTTATCTCTCTTACAAATATTTACACACTTCCTGTTGCTAACCACACTCACTTGCACAATCATTCTGTTTCCTGCTTCAGGCCTATTTCATGTTTATTACCCTAATACTCTCTATGTTGCTATTGTTTAATGCTGTTCTGTTTTCTTCTGATTTATTTATTTTATTTTTATTTTCAATTTTCACTATTCACTAAAATTGAAGTCATGGATTAGAAACTAAGACAAAGCATGCAACTGCTTCAGGGATAAAGGCCTCCAGGGGTCCTACAAGCTGTTTAATTTGGTTAATTTGATTAATTCCAAAACTGTTTGATTGGATTGCTATGAAATGAAATACAATTTTCTGATCTAATCTTTCATGTAAATCCACTATGTCAAAATCTACTTTTAACACCTGTGTTATTTTAGTTTATATTGTGCTCACAAGAGACACATTAGGACAAGATTGTATTGATCACACTCGTGGAATTTAAAGTGGATACAAATAAAGAACTACTACAGTAAATGTAAAGTTACAAACTTAGTTGTACTACACCTTTTATTTATAACGAGGGATGTAAAATAAAAGGTTCTGAATACTACATACACCAAAGTATAAAGAGTATTGAGAGAAAATATTCACAAATAAGTGTGGGAAAGAGAAAGTTCTAATACAAAATTTAATATAAAAACACAAAAGCATTCATAAAGTATTCCAGCCATGTCTCTGGGTGATTCGGGTCTGTTTTGTTTTGTCTTTACCTGAAACATGTCCTTAACTTGTTCTACCTGTTTTCCAGCGTGGTGGCTGTTTTACATCAGGGCTCCGATATATGACATCTAGTAACTCTCTAGAATATCCACAAAGGGGCAGTGTTTCCTCTTTTAAGCATGTTCTTCATAGCAGATAGCGCGGGGGCTAGGAAAAGCTGATTTTTATATATATATTTTATTTATGTTGTTTCCTAGACAGACCTTTTTTACAGCATTTATTTTGACATGAAACAGTAGGGTAAACACAATCAAGTTTCTGTTCCATGTAGTGTAGCAAAGCCTCTCCGGTGAGCCAACATGCACAATAGCAGCAGCCTGACTCTGTTACTTTGACCTGAATGGAACAAAACCT